GATGACATTAACAAACCTATTAAGAAGAATGGAAAGTCTATCATCTTTTTTACAGAAGCTGAAGATATTCAACTTGCTTCCTCCTGTAGTCTGAATTTGGTTGGAAAATTTTTATATGGACATCGCAAGGAATTTGAACTTATGCACCTTGTTGGAGAGTTGAAAATTGGACTATTAGATGGGAGGTACATTCTTATTCAAATTAATAATGAAGAAGATAACGCACGCTTATTTGCCAGAAGAATAATCTGGATTGATAACAGAGCAATGAAGATTCTGAAATGGTCTGTGGATTTTGACTCACAGATGGAATTCTAATAATTCTTGTTTGGATTTCTCTTCCTGATCTGAAATTTCATTATTTTTCGCAAAAAGTGTTGTATTTTATTGCCTTAGTTTATTGTAAACCACTCAAGATGTACATTCCTACCTTTATTCTTTCTCGTCCATCTGAAGCTAGAGTACTTGTTGAAAGAGACATTACTTCTTCCGCTTCTGAGGAAATTTGGTTGGGCACACAACATCATGGATATTGGCAGAAGGTAGAGTTCGTATTGTTCAAACTGTCGTATGTTCGGCCACTACAGTTCTCAATGTCATCATCTACATCCCCACCTCAGACTAAAAAAATAAAGTACTCCGCTAGAGGCAATGATTCCATCTCCTCCTATTCAGCTCCAAGTTTTTGACACTATTGATCATCAAAAGGATACACCTGAAGACGCCACTATTCCCGCAGACAATATATCAACCATTCAGTCTCCACACATTGTTGTAGCTACCCCGTCTTTGGAACCTCCTATCTTGGAGGCGAGGGAGATTCTTCAGACCGCCTGCTCTTGAACCCATCACTGATATTAAAGGTGAAAATATCTTTGTTGTTTCATTACCGCCTCATCAGGTCCAGAAAGATGTCAATGCTACTCAGACTCAGGGGGATCATGATCTGCAACGTCCTACACCTGTCCGGTTACCTTTGGATCAATCCATTGATCAGATAAGTCAATTCTCGGATGAGGAATGACAAGTCTACACATCAGGAGGAAGAAGAAGAACAGAGACATACTTGAGCTCAGAAATCTGATGGATGATACTTTGGTTACTTCAGGTAATTGTATGCATCTTAACAATTTGTTAGCTGACTCCCTTCAGAGAACTAGAGGCAAAAGAAAAACTAAAGTGGGACGTCCCTAGCACCTTTGCACCTGTTGGTGGATTTTGGTTTTTTTATATTTATGTATCTTTGCTTCTTTGGGTTTTTCTATGTTGTATTGTGTGAGTTTGGTCTTCTTTTAGGTCATCTCATACAACCTATCTGTACCTTTTCTTCTTTAATATATTAGCACTTGGGCTTTTAATATATATATGCTTGCTGTCACCAGACTCTCTGTGGCTTGTGTGTTAGTTGAGAGGGATATCACTCAACCAGCTCCGGATGAGGTATGGATTGGGACCCCTCCCCACGGCAAAATGTGGAAATTGAATCACACCCTCCTTATTGCTCTCATTGTAGTATGTTTGGTCACAGCTCTACTATTTGCTATCGTTTGCATCCTCATTTAAGGCCGAATATCGCTAAAGAACAACCACCTATTATCCCTGTTGAGAAGATGCAACCCGATCCTCTTCCCAACACCACGGTTCTTGAAAAAGAACAACATATTACAGTTATAGATCCAGTTGTGCTTATACCACCCACTATTATTGAAGAAGACTCAAATACATGTCAAGAAACACGAGATGACTCTTTTGATCCAATAATAGATCAGCCGGTACAACATGAAGTTGCTTCTAATATTCAACAATCTGCACATCTCCAACACACTTTAGAACAAGATCAACTCAGCGGAAGAGGAATGACAGGTCTATTCCATAAGGAAGAAAAAGAATTGAGGCTGACTCCAGCTCGGGAATATTTTAGATGATACATTGGTTACTACTGACAATGACAATCATCTTACCAACTTATTAGCTTGCTTCTACCCCAGAACCACAGGCAGAGGCAAAACCAAATTGGGTTGCTCTCTAGCCACCTGATACTATGTATTTCAACATTTTTGAACCTTTTTATTATGTCTCCAATGTACTTTTCTGTATTTTCTACTTTTGGAACCTCTTGTGGTTTTGGTGTTGGCAGGGTACCATGTTTGGGCCCTCCAAAACATTGTATCTACGTCTTTCTTTCTGGTTAATATATTAGCCTTTTTTTTAAAAAAAAAATCTATATATACATATAAATATGTCTACCCATAATGTCGTTTGTTCCAATTTCGTTCTGCTAGAGTTTCTTCATTATGGCGAAACCTAGTATCTCTTCATCGAATTCGTCGTATCTCCTCTTCTCCGTTGTCCTTTATCTGCGTCGTGCGGCGTTGACTTCTTCGTTGTGCATCCTCTGTCAAGATTGTAGCACAGGTGCCGTGCGGCGTCGTTTCTTCTCGCATGTTTGTCAGTTGTGCCTCCTACGGTCGCGCTTCTGCTGCTACCGGCTCGTTCATTCGGTTCTTTGACACTCGAAGAATTCTGCGTCTTGCGGCGTCGCTTCTTCGTCGCGCTTCTTTTATTTTCAGCCGCACCTTCTGCGGTCTCCTACGACTCCGTCTGTTGCACTGGCCTCCTTCCTGTGAACTACCTGTAGTCCAGAATTAAGTAGCTTACCGCTGTTCAACTCTCTTCCAAGACTACTGCTCCTTCTCAACCATCGACTACTTCAGTTTTAAACATTGGGAAGGCTTCTTTTGTTGATATGGTTGGGTCTATGGGATCATATCAGGGTTTTCCTCATTTTCCCTCAGGTTTACCATGAATCATTCGAAAGCCAGGAGAACTGCAACCTTATCAAGAAGACGGGTGAGAAGAGTGGTAAACTGGCTCTATTCTTGTCTGATGTTGAAGTTTCCAACCTGGTTAATAAGTTCAAATTCACCCTCATTGGGAAGTTCCAATTGGAACATCCCAAAATGGAAATTGTTCGAAAGACATTTGAAGATCTCAGACTATTGGGACTTTGGAAGATTTGCCTCTTTGATGGGAGACATGTGATGATACAATTATCTAAAGTAGAAGACGATGCCAAAATATCTTCCAAAAAGTTTATGACAATAGAGAGAAAATATATGAAACTACTTTGTATCCTCTATTTTTTATCAATGAATTTTACCTTTTCAAAAAAAAAAAAAAGAAAATATAAATATGCATACCCTTCATGTGAATAATACATTCAAGGGAGAATTTTTTCTCTCCAAATCAGTTCTCTACATTATATAAATGTGCTTAAAATTTTTTTACTGAAAAATTCCTTCCCCGCACTTGCTTGCCCTCATGTGTAATGTGTTTTCTCATTTCAGCATTTAGTCCCATATTGAGGATTTTTTTGTCATTGTTGATTTAATGCAAAAAGTAAGAGAAGGCGATTGAAATTAAAAGTGGAGTGCAGGCCTGCAACTATAGTTTGTGGATGCGATTTGCCTCCCTTTGGAAGGGTTTTAAAAAAAAAGTTAAGTTTCAATATTTAATTAAGTTATATATTTATTATTTTGAGCTCGAACGCGAGCTAATACAAATAAGTGAAGTTATTATCGAGCCGAACATGAATACATTATTTGTGAGCTCTTTTCGTGCCCGAGCCTTTGTAGAGTCATAAAAAAATCAAATAAACTGAACACAAACAAGCAATATGCTCGCTCATGCTCTACTCGTTTCCACTTCTAGAGATGAGAATGCTTTGGTGGATTTGTCTTTACACTTAGAGACAAAATGCGAAACAAATATATCCTTGAAAGGGATGGAGTAGCTCTAGTGGCAAACATGATATGTTTTGGTCACATTTAACGTCGACCATCTAATGTTTTAGTTAGGAGAAAAGATATAGATTTGACTTATGTCAAGAAAGGTAGAGGTAGAGCTAATAGGACTTGGGCATGTTGTATAAAAATAATATTAATTTATTAGAATTAAATGAAAATATGACACTCGTTAGGTCACAATGGAGATAAATGTTTCATTTAGCCGACCAAACGTAGTGGGATAAAGGCTTGTTGTTGTTGTTGTTGTTGTTGTTGTTGTTGTATCTAAAGTCTAGTTTAAGCCAGCTAATCCCCATGTTCTTCTTTCATAGAGTAAGTATCATGAATATTTGCAAAGAAAATTCAACTAAAAGCAAATTTGTTTTAGTACTTAGTTGCAGGAAATGTTGTAATCTAAGAAAATAAAACAATCATAAAGAGAAACAGAAAAACGAGAAGTTCTTGTTGATTTTAAACCTGCTTTGTATTCAACTGGATTTGATGCTTGTTTTGGCATCTGGTCTTCATCTAGGAGACCTTCGTTTCATTATTTGGGCATAGCTTTAATTATAAGCTTTATTGTATTAAATGCTCGTAAATTCGACATATCTTTGGTATCAATTTTCTCTTGAATACCTTCCATAACAATTCTTGTTATAATTATGTGCTAGTTCAAAATCAGTAATGCCTGTGCGAAAGTTTTTTCTTTACTCTCTTTCTCTCTTCCGTCAGAAAATATTTTCAAGTGCAGTATAATGTTCTTTTGAAGAGATGGTATATGGGAATTTCATATGACACTTCTAAACTTTATGTTTGGATTCTCTTGCAATTATCCCCCATATCTTTGTTATTGCTATTTGATGGTCCTGACAATATTGCAAGCCAGCTTCTGGTTTAAATGGATTGGTTCAGATTAAATTCTTCTGCTTGAAGAAATGGCCTAGATTGAGAAATTTTGCTAGTCATTTTGGCCTGTAAGTAATTTTTAATACGTTTTTTTACAAATTCTTTCACAAATTTGATTGCAATTTGTGACTTGAGAGGGTTACGTAAGATCAGTTAAGATTACATGTCAAGTTTAGATTGCGTTCTACAAATTACACAGAGAAAGCCACGTGATTGGTTGAGCTATTTCCTATCAGTAACGTTTTTAACTTCTAAAGAGACCTTAGCCAGAGCACTTATATAAGGCTCTTTGTTGTCATGTAAGGACAGATGGTCTTCTGCCAGGTCAGTGGTTTTGCAGCAATGAAAGTGTTTTATCTCTAAATAAAATCACTGGAGAAGCTCGTGCATCTGCTGAAGGTCGAACTCAAGGTAAAACAATTTCATGCTTTTTTCCCTCAAGAAGTTATGTTTTGAATTCTAGGCCATCATAAATGGATTTTTCTACCAATATTTCACCGAGCTTTAGGTAGTTCCTTTCAATAGTTTTCTTTCAGGGTTCCAACTTCAAATTGCAGACTGTGGCTAGTGTGATTAAATTGAATCAGATTATAGTTGAGACTCCATCAGATACCTTGACAAATGCTCCATTTCCATCCAAAGGCTACAAGTTTGCTGTCAAACTTAGGTTGGTGTTTTGTTATCTTATTTAACTGGATTATTAACTGCTTAGATGGATTTTTAGGCTTTTCTCTTCTACTTTTCTTCAGTCTAATTAGAAAAGGCCTGACTGTTTCTGAAAATTGAAAGATAAAACCCTGTGAAATTCATGAATGCACGCTTCCACATAAATATTGTTAAATGTTAATATTCTCCATTTTGTGACTTTCGAAGAAAGTGAATAAGGCAAAATTATAAAATGTATTCTTAGGAGAAGAAAGTAATACCATGCCCCATGACGGCCCCATCTACCAATCAACAGAAGACGTAATTAGATGCTAGTGTCATTCAGGTGGTTAAACATACCTTCAACATCCATTATGCACCAGAATAGAGCGACTGATAAACTCAATATCTAAATTCACATGGAACAACACAAAACATTGCTCATGTTTACATAAATTTAGTAAAAAGGAATCATTCAAATTAAACAGAAGAAAAAAAAAATCATTTTGAATATATTTACAGCGGATAAAATAAATCTAACTACGTGACAAAAAGCATAAACTTCGTCATATGATTTGACTCGAGGTTTCTCTACATACAATATTGTATATCAAAGTATGATCACAAAATTATATTGATTTTACTCTGGCCTCAATCTTTTCTTTCTACTTTTTTGCAGAAATGCTACAACAATCTAAGAAGTTACGATCTTAGCACGATTAATAAAGCTTATATATTATAATGCTCGGTTTCGATTAGTTCATAAACTAGTATGAAGTGTTTCTTATACAAGAAACAAAAACAATGCGAAGGGGCTGAGATGCACGATTTAAACAGAGTCAAATTAAGGGATATGAAGTGAGCAGCGGGGAACTTAAGAGGAAGATTCATTCTATAAAAGGACGGGTATAATTAGAGACAGAGTCGAGATCGAGAGGCTTTATAGCAGATGGCAGCTCTAAGTGTGAACGATTTACATGAGGAGCTGATCGACACGTATGAAGGATGATCAACTAGCGCAAGCTAGGGCTTTCCTGTGCATCTATCGAAGCTGAAGACTGTAATGGCTCGATCCGGGGATTGGAATTAACATAGGCGGGTACAATTAATCAGATGGTGAGAACAATTTTTTTTATTTTCATTTATTATTAAATAAATGAAAGAATCACTACTCAAATTAAATTAAAACAATAAAATTAAATCTTACTTCTTTATATGTTGTCCACATCTTTTATAAATATTCTCTCTTCTATTGTTCATTTTTAAAAAAATTAATTACACCTGAAAAATTATTTTAAAATAACTATGGGCTAATCAAAACCAGTGAATATGCACACTCCTAAATTACAGTAATGCAAATGAAAAGAAAGAAATATGAATGTAAGTTAAGCTTTTAATAAATCAATATAAATATTTAATATTTTAAGATTATGATACTATTCAAGGAATCTTACTATATCAATGACATATCATTATATATATTTACAACTGTTTTAAGAACACAATCAAAAAATTATACTAATTAATGTACCTTAATATCAATGTTTTTTTTTCATATACGTGCACGTGTATCTTAGCTTTTCCTCGTATGTATCATAAATTTATAAACTCATCATAGTCAATTATGTACGTACAAGCAGCCAATGTAATCATATCATTCATGTGCTCATCGCATTCAATTCAATAGATTATATTTATCATTAATCAATAAATGATAGTAAGTAATTACATACATATAATTAACAACTTTTCAGAAAATTGGCTCAATCTCTTTTACCTTAGCTTTTATTCTAATAAATAATAATATGTACAATCTATTTTAGGTAACCTAATAAATATTCCTAATCTAAATATATTTAGCTATAAGGAAAGAATATGTACAATTAACAAGAGAGGTAAATCAGGAGAGAGAAATTAGAAACAATTTAAATAAGGAAACTCCTAAGTTAGCTGCCTGATTTATGTCATTCTTAATTGATATCCCCCCCCTCAAATTGATGTTGATTGATCAAGAAGCATCAATTTGACAATAGGAAACTGATGACGCTGCCAAGAAAAAGCTTCAGTAATATATCAGCCGTTTGGAGATCCGAAGAGTTATGAGAAAGAGAAATATCGTCATTATCATAAGCTTCTCGAATAGAATGACAGTCCACTTCAATGTGTTTCGTGCGCTCATGAAAGACAGAATTATCATTAATTTGCATAGCACTAGTATTATCTGAATAAAGAGAAGTAGAGTCGAGGAAAACTAAGCTCAACCAACAAACCCTGAAGCTAAATTATCTCAGAACAAGCAGAGGACAACGCGATATTCAGACTCAATAAAAGACTTAGACACTCAATCTTGTTTCTTACTTATCAAAAAAATTAAAGAGTTGCCGAGAAATATACACTAACTTGTAATAGATCGACCCGTATCAAAACAATCAGTTCAATCAGCAATCACAATAGGTTGTCAAGTGAATAGGAGACTCCGCAGAGAAGAACAAACTACAATGAGAAGTACCTTTCAAATGTCTAACAATGTGTCGAATTGCAACTAAATGAAGATACGTACATACCTGCATAAATTGACTAACTTGTTGCATAACGAATGAAATATCAGTACTTGTAATAGTCAGATAATTGAGACTCCCAACAAATTGTCGATACAAAGATGAATCAGATAGAAAATCACCATCATTTCGGTGATATTTAACATTTTCTTTCAAAGGAGTATCGAGACTGGCCGAGGTAATGAGTTTCTTAGTATAGTTATTTTGATGAAGAAATATATCCGTGGTAGAAGAGTGAATCTCAAGACCTAAGAAATAAGTTAAAGACTCCAAATCTTTCATGTGAAAAGAACCCTGAATACGCTCCTTTAAATGAGATATCAATTGAGTATCAAATCTTGTGATGTCAATATCATCAACATAGACCAATAACAAAATAATTCTTTTATCAGTTTTGAAAAGAAATAATAAAGAATCATATTGAGTTTAAATAAAAGAGAAGCTAAGAAAAGTATTATGAGCTTTTTCAAACCAGGCCTGTGGAACCTGTTTCAAACCGTATAGAGACTATTTGAGCTTACTAACATCATGTGAGGGTATAGAATACAAGCTTGAATGAGTCATATAGATATTTTCCTTGAGATCCCCATGCAAAAATACATTCTTAACATCCATCTATCATAAGAACTAGCCTTTAGATGCAGCAATAGATAGAACAAGTCGGACAGTTGTCATCTTAGCCACAGGTGCGAAGGACTTTTCATAATCAATACCATATTCTTGTCGATTGCCAAGAGCTATCAATCTTGCCTTGTAGCTATCAAGGGAACTATCAGATCGGAGCTTAAGAGAATAAACCTATTTACAGCTAATGGGTTTAACACCTGTAGGACATGAAACAATATCCCAAATGTGATTGTCTTAAAGTGCCTGAAGTTCCTCGTGCATGGCTTTTATCCAACAAGTCCGTTTAGTAGCCTGAGATTAAGAGGTGGGAATTCCAGTATTAGTTAAAATTGCAGAATAGCCATGTCTATCTGAAGAAGAATGAATGTGCTGAGTTGATCATTGAAGAGTCATTGGAGCATTTTCAGGAGTAGCATCGGGAAGGACTGGAGATGAAGGGCAGGTGTTTACACAAGGTTGGCTTGAACCATTTATCAAAATAAAAATCATCAAATTGAGGAAGTACAACAATATCAGGTGTTGAAAGATGGTGAAAATAGTATTCATGTTGAAAGAAAATGAAATCTCGAGAGATATTCCATTGATTATTAATCAAATCATAACACACAAAACCTTTATGATTAGGGTTGTAACATATAAAGACACATCGAACAAACTGTGCTACCAACTTATGTCGTACATGAGCAGGTAAATGAACAAAACAAACACTTTTGAAAGTATGCAGCATATGATAATTAGGATGCTTACCAAAAATTCGATAGTATGGAGAATCAAACTTTTATTATTGAGAAGGTAAACGATTAATCAGATAAACTACAGTAGATAAAGCTGCAGTCCAGAAATTAGCCGAAACAGAAGATTCTAACAATAATGTCGATTTTGAGAATTGGTTAAAACTCATGAGACATGTATTCACCATCATTGTTAAAATATAAGGTTTTAATATGAGTGGAGAACTGAATTTCAATGTCACAAATGTTTAAAACACGTTAAACACTTCTGTTTTGGAATGCAAAAAATAAATCCATGTGAATCCATTGTAATCGTCAATAAATCACAAAATATTTATACTAAGCATGTGAAATTACCATATAATTCCCCAAACATCACTATGAATAATGTCAAAACATTTATTGATACGACTATCTAAAATAGGAAAAAATAATTTCTTACTTTTGCCCAATTTACAAGAAGAACAATCAATCAATAAACTTTTATCTATAGAGTTAAAAACACCACTTTGCAACAAATGATTCAAAACAATATTTTTTGGATGACCTAATCATTTATGCCACATGCTAGCCTTATTTTCAACAACTTAAGAAGCTAATGACAAAGTCTGAGGAACGACAAATTGTAATGGAAATAATCTGCCCATTTTATGCCCTTTTCCTATCACCTTCCCGGACACGTGATCCTGCACAATACAACCATCACGGGAAAAGTGTATATCACAGTTATTATTCACCATTTGACCAACAGTAAGTTAGTAGATAATTTAGGAGAAGCCAAGACATGTCGGAAGGATGGACTAATGTCTCTAACTGTTGTAATTGGAATATTATTTCCATCAGCAACCTGAATATGTTGAGTACCTGTATAGAGGTGTTGATTATGCAATAAATAAAATGTCAGTCGTATGATTTGTGGCGTCGGAATCAACAAATATGGGAGAAGAAATAGAAGTAATAATCTTACATTTCCCTTGAAAACTAAGAACAGAAAAGACAAAGAGAATCATCTGTTTAACCATATATAGTGTGAGAACAAATTGATTATTGCCAGCAGATGTGGATTTCAAACCAAGATTGTGAGTCGGATACCTCAACATGAGGGC